GGTGGCTGCAGCTGGAGAGGGCTTCTCCTTCTTTCTCTTCTCCCCTACGGCCACAACCCTGACATGCCTCATGCTTGAAAAGATTCATCATTCAAACCATAACACAATGCTATGTGGGTAGCTCAGCTGCCTGAGAGAGGATCAGAAAACCCAACTCTAATGGGCTGATGAATGGAAAATACATTACTAATGTAACATTCAAAGGACACTCTTGCTTTATTTCACCCTAGTAGAATGGAAAGATGAATAAGTAGGATGACTGTCGGCCAATAGTGTGGTTTGTAAATGAAAATGTCGAAGGGTGATTTTTGGCTTTTTAAAATCTTGTATGTTTATCTTTCATGTGTATACTTGAAAGGATAATAAAATATGTTTTCTCCCACTAGAATATGCAGTTAAAATAAGTGTTATTTCCTCATAAGTGTTCAGCACCCGAATTGTTTTTATGTAAATGCATTTTTAGTTTTTTAGTTTATTCAAATGCCATTTAGTACATTTTGACACAAATGAAATTATAAATTCACATTAAATAGAGTACTAGATAAAATACAGAACACCTAACTTTGAATTTAAGAAAAATGATGAATAATGTTTGTTGTGTCCATACACTATTTGAGATATAACTCAGGCACTACATAAGGACATTTCAGTCAACTATGAACTGCACATAAAATAGAGTCCCATAAGATTATAATAGAGCTGAAAAATTCCTATTGCCTGACGTCATAGCCATCATAACATCATAGTGAAATGTATTATTTACACATTTATAGTGATGCTGGTGTAAATATATACTGCATTGCAGTCATATAAAAGTCTAGCATATATAGTTATGTACAACATATAATACTTGATAATAAACCACTATGTTACTGGTTTATGAGTTTACTATATTTTTTATCTGTATTTTACACTGTGTTCCTTCTACTTATAAATAAAAGTTAACTGTAAAATAGGCTCAGGTAGGTTCTTCAGGAGGGATTCCAGAAGAAGGCATTGGTACCATAGGAGATGACAGCTCTGTGCATGTTATTGCCCCTGTAGACCATCCAGACCAAGAGACAGAAGATGTGGAGGTGGAAGGCAGTGATGCTGATGATGCTGACCCTGTGTAGGCCTAGGCTAATGTACGTGTTTGTGTCTTAGTTCTTAACAACAAAAAAGCTTAAAAAGCAAAAAATAAAATATTAAGAATAGAAAAAAAACTTATAGAAGGAAAGAAATATAAATAAGGAAAAAATATGTTTGTGTTTTAAGCTATTACAAGAGTAAAAAAGTTTTTAAAAAATTCATTCTACTATAAAGACACAGGCACACATAGGTTTATTGCAGCACTATTCACAATAGCAAGAACTTGGAACCAACTCAAATGCCCATCAGTGATAGACTGGATAAAGAAAAGATGACACACATAAACCGTGGAATACTATGCAGCCATAAAAAAGGAATGAGATCATGTCCTTTGCAGGGACATGGATGAAGCTGGAAGCCATCATTCTCAGCAAACTATAACACAAGAACAGAAAACCAAACACTGCATGTTTTCACTCATAAGTGAGAGTTGAACAATAAGAACACATGGACACAGGGAGGAGGGGGGAAACAACACACACCAGGGCCTATTGGTAGGTGGCAGGCAAGGGGAAGGACAGCATTAAGATGAATATCTAATGCATATGAGGCTTAAAACCTAGATGAGGCCAGGTGCGGGGGCTCACGCCTGTAATCCCAGCAGTTTGGGAAGCTGAGGCAGGTGGATCATGAGGTCAGGAGTTTGAGACCAGCCTGACCAAAATGGTGAAACCCTGTCTCTACTAAAAATACAAAATTAGCCAGGCTTGGTGGTGCATGCCTGTAGCCCCAGCTACTCAGGAGGCTGAAGCAGGAGACTCACTTGAACCCCAAGAGGCGGCGGTTGCAGTGAGCCCAGATTGTGCCATTGCACTCCAGCCTGGGCAACAGAGCAAGACTCCATCTCAGAAAAAAAAAAAAATCTAGATGATGGGTTGATAGGTGCAACAAATCACCAGGGCACATGTATACCTATGTAACAAACCTGTACATTCTGCACATGTATCCCGGAACTTAATAAAATTAAAAAAAAAACATTTTTACTTTATAAAACTTTTTAATTTTAAAAAGCTTCTATATAAATATAAGCTTTTTATATTTATATAGAAGCTTTTTAAAATTAAAAAGTTTTATAAAGTAAAAATGTTATAGTAAGCTAAGGTTAATTTATTATTAAAGAAAGAAATTTTAAATAAATGTAGCGTATCCTAAGTGTGCAGTGTTTATAGAGTCGATAGTGTACGGCAAGGTCCTGGGCCTTCACATTTCACTCACCACCGACTCACTCACCCAGAACAACTTCCAGTCCTGCAAGCTCTATTCACGGTAAGTGTCCTATTCTCACTGAACCTTTTCTACATTGAGATAGGTTTAGATACACAAGTACCATTACGTTGTAATTGCCTGCAGTGTTCAGTACAGTACTACGATGTCCAGGTTTGTGGCCTAGGAGCCATAGGTTCTACCATGTTAGCTTAAGTGTATCGTGGGCTCTACCATCTAGGTTTGTGTAAATACAACCTGATTTCTCCACAAGGACGGTCACCTAAGGACACATTTCTTAGAACATATTCCCATTGATAAGTGATGAATGACTGTGCTTATACTCAAAAATTACTCATTGCTTATCCAAAATTCAAATTTAATTGAGTGGCCTGTATTTGTGTTTGCTAACTCTGGCAACCCTATCACCAAGGCAAATTTCACTGGAAGAAATTTGAAGCTCTGAATACAGTTTTTAATCAAGCATGTAGACTTTTATTCACACTTGGAAATCAACCTTCCATTATCCAGAGAGCACACATGCTGCCTCCAGCTCCCTGTTTCCCCTTGGCCTATGGCCCATTCCAATCTGCCTCACAGAGCCCCATCACCCCATAGAAACAGGTGTCTTCTGGTCACCAGCGCGTTCCTTGTTGCCACACGCAGTGCACACTTTTCTGTACTCATGTTAACATCTCAGCCACATTCTGCAATGCTGACCTCCTTCTCTCTTGAAAGAGTTTGGCTCTGGCTTCTGTGACCCCCTTCTCTGTCCTGGTTTTCTACTTATCTGGCCACTAATTCTCACCTCGTCTGTCAGATCCTTCTCCTCTAACTCCAAATTGGGAACTCCTCATGGCTTCACACAAGGTCCCCCGTTTTTCTCTACACAACACTGTCCAATAGAACTCTCTTATGAGGATGGAAATGTCTTCTCTCTGCACCATCCAATGCAGTAGCCACTAGCTACAGGTGGCGACCAAGCACTTGAAATGTGGCTAGTGTGACTGAGGGATGGAATTTTAAAATTTATTTAATTTTTAAATTTTTTTATGAGAGTCTTGCTCTGTCACCCCAGGCTGGAATGCAGTGACACCATCTTGGCTCACTGCAACCTCTGCCTCCTTGGTTCAAGAGATCCTCCTGCTTCAACCTTGGGGTATCTGGGATTACAGGCATGCACAATCACACCTGGCTAATTTTTGTATTTTTTTGTACAGAATGAGTTTCACCATGTTGACCAGGCAGGTCTTGAACTCCTGACCTCAAGTGATCTACCCACCTTGGCTTCCCAAAGTGCTGGGATTACAGACACGAGCCACTGTGCCTGGCTAACTTTTATAATTTTAATTAATTTATATTAGCACATATGGCCAGTGGTTACCATATTGGACAGTACAGCTCTAGATTATCTTACTAGGTGAGCTACTATTGGCTTTAAAAAGCAGCTTTACGCTTATGATTTCCTGATATGTATCTGTATCTCAGACCCTCTGCAGAGCTCCAGCGTTATATGCATCTGATAGCTTCGATGACTCGCAGGCATTAAGGGACCACAGCTGTTCTTTTCTCAGCTGCCAATACTTCAGAGTGGTACCACCAGTTATTCGGTTTGTTGAAGCCAGGAACTGAGAGTAGTTATTTTTCCTTATTCCTTGCTATCCCACACCTAAATCATAAGTAAGGTCCCCCAATGCTACCTCCAACTTACATTTTTTTATGGGCACCCTATTTACTTTTATTACCTGGCAGGATTTGTAGGAAAATTGTCCAGAGCTGGCATGTTGATCCTCCTGGGCTTAAGCCATCCTTCCACCTCAATTTTCTGAGTAGCTGGGACTTACAGGCGTGTGCCACCACATCCGGCTAATTTTTGTATTTTTTTGGTAGAGATGGGGTCTTGCCATGTTGCCCAGGCTGGTCTCTTAACTCCTGGCTCAAGCAATCCACCTGCCTCAGCCTCCCAAAGTGCTAGGATTACAGGCATGAGCCACTGTGTTTGGCTAGTAAGTGCTATATAAATGTTAAGATATTATTATAGCTTGTGAGCTTTGGCAATGGAAGTCCAAAGAAAAAAGTAACCGATGAGTGTACTAAGCATCTTTCCCTTTGAAAAAAATTGGTTTGTTAGAAACTCATAGGAGTGTACTCATACCTACTTAATCTTTTGTTAAGTACTACATGCATTTATTATGTTGGGATATTAAACTTCTCTGAATTAATTGGACAATATAGAATGCCCAATGATTTAAAATGGCGTCTGACTTACTACAATTTAGCTATACAAATTGATTATTCTATGCAAATTTGAGGATACTTCTAGGCAACCCCCTCAAAAATATATTGCTTGTGTAGTTTATCTTTATTTGAAAACAGGATATTTTTCACTAAATATTAGTGAATATTGGGAGCAGTGCAAAAGTATGTGTGTGTACACTTCAAAAGTTTTGAAAAGTCTCTTTCTGTTATGACAGAGTATAACAACAGGTATTTTGCAAATAAACTACAAAACAGTCAAACTATTTAATACTTTTTTTTTTTTTTTTTTTTTTTTTGAGGCAGGGTCTTGCTCTGCTGCCCAAGCTGGAGTGCAGGAGCACAAAGATGGCTGATGCAGCCTTGACCTCCTGAGTTTAAAGCATCCTCCCGCCTCAGCTTCCCAAGTAGCTGGAACTACAGGCACACTGCTATGCCCCCGGGGTCTCTGTCACGCAGAGATGGGGACTCTCTCTGTTGCCCAGACTGGTCTTGGACTCCTGGACTCAAGCAATCCTCCTGCCTCAGCCTCCCAGAGTGTTGGGATTACAGGCACGAGCCACCTCTCTTGGTGCATTTAATAAGTTTTAATGTTTCATAACAACTGTTTCCTAGGTCATAATATGAGCATTTTTTTTCCTATTTCTGTTTTGAAGTAAGTCAAGAATTAGCTTCATTACTTTAAAATGTCCTTATTACATTTAATTGAACAATGTTATTAATTATTGAACATTATTAATTACCTTTATGAAGAATAACAGAGGAACAGTAAAGCTGTATTTTAGCAAAACATTTTAATTCTAATTCCGAAACCTAATCAGAAAAAAATGTGTTTGGAACAATGATAATTCATTAAATACAACTCATCATTGTTAGGCTGTCTCTGTTATGGAGACGATCATGTTATGAAAAGGCATTCAGCTAATATTGAATCTTTTAAGAACAATTGAACTTTACCATTGCTAGAGATTTTTTGAAAAGCCGTAGATACATAAGTTGGAGATAAAACAATCAAAATTACTTCCTGAGCTATTTTTACGGGTTCTAAATGCTAAACAAAAATGTCATGAAATGACTCAGAAGATTGTAAAACTTTCTTCCTGAAGCTATTTTGACAGCCTCCAGGGATGTAAAATTCCCTAAAGTGCTCTAATGGGAAAAGGCTTAGAATAAGAACCAGAATCCCAGACCTCTACTCCCACTAATAAGCTAAGTGAACTTAGGTCAGTATTTAACCTCCTCCAGTTGCTTATTTGTTCATTTGAGAGACTCACACTTTCCTGAGTTACATCTATGTATTGTAGCCAGTTTCAAAATGCTGTGTGAAATGTCCCAATATGACCTGAACATTTCCAACTGATTATTTTCTCAGCTAATCGGCATTTTTACTACTATCTGTATTTTTTTGCACACAAGGTGAGTCTCCCAAGTCAACAAGAGATCACTGCCATTTCACATTTCCCTGCCTCCTGCCTGCATGCACATTGCTATTTTGTTGTCCCCTGAATTGCCTTTCAAAAATCCTCATTGTTATAGCTACAGAAGGGACCTAATCTATCTGAGTGACTGATTGCAGTGCCCAGCCCAGACACACATGCATCCCAAGCCTCTGCTTCATCTGTCCTAGAGGAAACTGGTTGGTGGGGAACAGCCACGGTGGGTCTGATGGCGCGGCAATCTCCTGCAGTTTTCATAGGAAGTGGCCCTGAAGCAGAGGCTGCCCTGGTGACTGTCGCTGGAGGACCCCAGGCTTCTGGATATACCGCGACCGACATCCTGGTATCTTCAGGAGCATAGCTACAGCTTGAAAGGCTCTTAATCTCCCCCACAGCATCACTGTATTTCCTAGCAGGGGGCTGGTAGGCCTGGTAGGACACTTTGGTGGTGGTGGTGATCACGGTTTGTAGGGCACCTGGTGGCGGAGTCGTGAGGTACCGACAGGGAAGCTCTGGATTATAATAAGGGCGAGTGGCCACAGCCTGACACTGCCCATGGTCAGTCCTCTCCACAAGGCTGGGTTTTCCAAGAGATGGTTTCCAGACATGCTGTTTGTTGGTGAAATCAAAGCTTCTCTCGTAGCTGCTGTATGAATTGACATTATATTGTAGTGTGTTCAGATGAATGCAGTCTGTGTCATTAGGGATACTGGTGGAATCCTTACAAAGGGTGGGATATGGGCTCGAATTTGTATAAGCAGGATTTGCCAATTCATAGCTGCAAGGTGGCATAGGCAAATAGATTCTTGGGCTTGAATATTTCTGAAAGGGTGGCATTTTGTCTCCTTGAAAGGTGGCTAGGTCACAGGTAGCTTTGTAAGCATCAGAGTCTGGGAAGGAAGGGCAAGGCTGCCCTGGAATAGGAAAGCTGGTTTCAGTAACTATATCAAAGTCTTCTGGATTTTCCAAAGGTATGTTGCTGAAATCAAGACCGCTGCTGTCTTGATTTTCTTCTACCTAAAAAATGAAACAAACACAGATACATGCTATGTAAATTGTTTGGGCACCTTCACCTGTAACAATAGCCAACAAGTAAGTAAAAACAGATGACCATGTGCTGGGCTCCGTGTTGTGAACACTGCGCTGCTCAGGTATGTGATTTAAGCATGTGGTCCAGGGGTTGCTAAACTGGAGCTCACTCAGGCATAAATACCACACAACAGAATGAGGAAGGTCCACGGTAGCCAGGTAGGAAGCTTCTGAGTGGCAGATGGTCCTGTTCTCACCCACACTGTGTTCCTAGAGACTTAGGAGGCACACAGGCCTGGGTTCAATGCTGACTCTGTCCCTCACAAATTGAACAAGCCATTTAACCTCTCTGAGCCTCAGATTCTTCATCTTAAAAATGAAACTTAATGGCCGGGTGCAGTGGCTCACACCTTCAATCCCAGCACTTTGGGAGGCTGAGGTGGGTGGATCATGAGGTTAGGAGATTGAGACCATCCTGACTAACATGGTAAAACCTCGTCTCTACTAAAATACAAAAATTCGCTGGGTGTGGTGGTGCGCACCTACAATCCCAGCTACTCAGGAGGTTAAGGCAGGAGAATTGCTTGAACCAGGGAGTCAGAGGTTGCAGTGAGCTGAGATTGCGCCACTGCACTCCAGCCTGATGACAGAGCGAGACTCCGTCTCAATAAATAAATAAGTAAATAAATAAAATGGAACTTAATAAAAGTAAACTTGTTATAGGGTTTCTGCAACCATCAAATGTGTGAAACTCAGACCAGTGCCTGGAACATGGGCACTGTCAGTTTCTGTTATCCTCACACTAACACTCCGCCTGCTTGGCATGCTTTGGTTGAAAAGCCAAACTGAATTAAACTGCACAGAGAAATGTTATCTGTTCTTGTGGATAAAATAATGGAAAGGACCCTCTCAAGGACACACTGCTAACTTCCTGTTGGAGGCATGCATTTCCATCTTTACTACTGTTGCATAATTGTCCTTATATTAGGTTGTTAGCACACTGACATATCAGGACTGTATCACTGCCTGCAGAGATTGTTGGTTTTTCTTTTAAGGAGAAAAAGGGATCAGAAACCCTATTCAGATGTTGATTTGATGATATTTTGTGACAGACATATAATTTTCACATGAAATCAAACCCTTGTAATTAATGTATGACCTGCATATTTTACATACTTATCAGTGTATCTGGGGATGAAAATGAGCAGAGGCCACCATCCCCTCTCAGTTCCCAGTACCTCAAATTCTCGAATTCTCTTTTTCTGGGGTTGGTAGAAAGAGGCCATTTGTCTCTTGAAGGCACTTCTTCTAGCTTCCGTCTCTGATTTGCTCTCTGGTCTTGGGTGATCGTGAACTCCCTTGGCCTGCGATAAGGAGAAAATAAATCATACATTTGTGTCCCTAAAGGAAGCTGACAATGTAGCCCAAAAATTGATCATGCCTTTCCTAAGATCTCAAGTGTTTTTAGTTTTGCTTCTTTCAAAATGACAGAAAAAAAAAATTCTTGAATAAAACAGCATCAATAATTAACATATTAAAAGATCATTGCAATCCTTTCACTCTATTAAAAGAACTATAACTACAACTTGGTTTACCATCTCTGGACCTTAAAGCGCTCACAGTAGTGAGCTAATTCCTAGTCTCCCCATTAGGGCCCCGGGGGGCTCCAGCACCTATTTCTGGCCACTGGAGCTGTATTTTGTTTGGCCCAAGGTTTCCAAGGCACATGACAGGTGGTCTGGCCTTTATGGTCTGATGAAAAGTATCCATCACAAATTGTATTCTCACCTAACCTACCTGAAAAAAGATCGCGTTGCCATCAAGCCGCCAAAAGTTGGTGACAGGGTATCCACTGTGCCCTCGACAAGGAATCAATTCCAAAGCAGAATGACAGTTAGGGCATGCCTTCTCTGCAAAGCCCAGAAGGGAGAAATATTAACCCTGACCCCAGGCCCTTCTGAAGGAAGAAGGGGAAAATTAGTTGGGACTAAAGAGCTCGTGGCCCTTCGCGGTGGCTCACACCTGTACAATCCCAGCACCTTGGGAAGCTGAGGTGGGTGGATCACCTGAGGTCAGGAGTTCGAGACCAGCGTGACCAATATGAAGAAACCCCATCTTTGCTAAAAATATATAATTAGCTGGGCGTGGTGGCGCATGCCTGTAATCTTGGCTACATGGGAGGCTGAGGTAGGAGAATCACTTAAAGCCCGGAGTCAGAAGTTGCAGTGAGCTGAGATCAGCCATTGCACTCCGGCCTGGGCAACAAGAGCGAAACTCCGTCTCAAAAAAAAAGGAACCTATGACTCCAACGTAACCCTCTCCCAGGCCCGGAGTCCTCACTCTGCTGTTTCAGCCGTGCCTTGTCGCAGATGGCCGGCCGCAGCTGCAGGCGCGAACCGTCTGGCAGGGCGCAGGCCTGCGCACACACCACCACGCCCAGGCACGACTTCTTGAGGATGAGGCCATTGTGGTTGTTGGTGTTGCGCATGGCCCAGCCGCTCAGGTGGCGCTGCGCCTTCTTCTCATCGCTGCTGTAGATGAAGCGCACGTAGCCGTCAGGCCACTCTCGGAACTGGTCGAAGAGGGCCAGCTCCTGGAAGGGTGCAGAAGGAAGGGTGGTCAGCTGATCGACCAAACGGCACACAACATGCTCTAAAATTTCTACAAGCACATTAGGATTAAAAAAGGTTCTTTTTAAATCCAGCAATGTGAAATCCCAAAATGCCACCCTTCCTAGGTGAGACTGGCAACCAGGTAATAATTAATGTTTATATAGTGTTTATCTGTTAAATGCTGTACATGTATTAATTCATCTAGACTTCAAACTACAGGCAATGATTTACATTTTACAGACGAGGACGTGGAGGTCAGAGAGGTTCATCGACTTGCCCAAGGTCACATCACACAGCTAGCAAGATCTGGCTCTAGGATTTGTACCCCGGCAGTCCCATTCCAGAACCTGTACTTCTTACCACTATGTTCTATCACTTCTTGGTGTGTTTAAATGTTGAAAACATTTCATGTTAAGCATCAAAGTGCTAGTGGGAAAAGTGACTGGAATGTTCTATCACTGAAATGCAATTTCACTGGTAAATATCTTTAAGTCAGTGCATTTCCTTCAAAAGCGCATTGGCTCTCTATGCCAGACCTGTCAGTCACATTAGCAGTGGCACCCAGAGTAACGTCAGAGAGGAAGGAACAGCTTCCCTCCCTACTCTCAACTTGGCTCTCCAAGTTTAAAAGGGTATTGCAATGATGGACTTAAACCATGAGCTTTGGGGTGTGGGTGAGCTTGCCTGGCACTGGACTGCTCCCCAGAGCAATATGGGATTGTCATTCTCCTCAACAAAGAGCTACATGGCCAAAATAATAAGTTATATCTAAAATACTGAGCTTTGCCTTAGTATTCATATTTGGTAGTCTTTGTCAATTTAATGCATTATTTATATGGCAATCAATGTCTCTTTTGCATATAAGTTTAATTGAAAAAGCACCCTTTACTAGGCACTTTCTTTTTTTGGGGGGTGGTGGGACGGAGTCTTGCTCTGTTGCTCGGGCTGGAGTGCGGTGGCGTGATCTCAGCTCACTGCAACCTCCACCTCCCAGGTTCAAGTGATTCTCCTGCCTCAGTCTCCCAAATAGCTGGGGACACACACAACCACGCCCAGCTAATTTTTGTATTTTTAGTAGAGACAGGGTTTCACCACGTTGGCCAGGATGGTCTTAATCTCCTGGCCTCGTGATCCACCTGCCTTGACCTCCCAAAGTGCTGAGGTTACAGGCGTGAGCTACTGTGCCTGGCCACTGAGAACTTTCTTTTATGTAATGTTTAGGGCTGCTTTCACACCACAATGCAGAATTGAATATTTGGAAAAGAAATACTAAGATCTGCAAAGCCATATTATGCAATATACACAATTTTCACAACATTTTTGCAAAATGGACATCTTTACTCTTGTTTACTCAATAAGGAAGTGGAGATTCAATAGATAACCTTTCACAATGGCATAGCTGGAATATAAACAGAAGATGGGTAGCAGCCCGACGCAGTAGCTTTGCTGGTGTGATAAAGACTCAGAGGGGTGTATCATAGTTGTAAGCCATGTGCATCTCCTCCCCACTCCTGCCACTCAGGAAAATTACATCAAACATTTGCAAAGCTGAAGTATTCACAGTTGGAAAATTCAGACTTGCATACATCATTAATACTGCACATTCTAACAGTAGTAAGGTAAATGAGTGACTTTGTTTCCAAAAATCACAAAGATATTGTTGAAATCATTGTTGTTACCATTAGGTATTATTTATCTTTTCTCTGAAATATTGCAAGGGACATAAATTAATGTATCAATGTAAGTTACAAGTGAAATACATAATGATGTACTATCAACTCCAAGTTTATATTAAATGCTAATGTCTTTGTTTTGAAAGTGAACATTTTAACTTAAGGATCTTAGTAACAAGTTGATAATTTTCCAGAAAACAACATTTCTTTAGCTCTCCCTTAATATGTAGACTAGGTCTCCATGCCTTACACGAGCTGCAGAGGTAGTGATGCTGGCAGTGAAGCCACAGAGACGGTATTTTTAAAATCAGTACAAGAAGAGAGGATGTCAAGGATTGGGTTTCATTTGTTCTAAAGTGTTGGCATGTTATGTGTGTGTGTGTACACACACACACACATAAACACTGAACCTGATCGTAGAGCTGGGGGAGAGTTTGAGATAGTTATCTCACTCTACCACTTGATGACAAGCGAGTAGCCTGAGACTAAGGCAAATTCAAGGACTCTCTCAAGGGCATATAGTTAGTTTAGCTGGCTCAGTCAGTTAGCCAGAGCAGGGCGATGCTAAATTTGTCCACTTCTCTTTCTATGTCCCCGTGTGCCTGCCCCTTTTGAGATATTACACACATACTCCCTGCTTAAAAACCAATCTCCTGAAAGAAAGTTCATATTTACATAGGAAGCCTAGCAAATGCTGGAGAGATGAGCCATAATTACATTATTTGGATGTGACTTTTCTAAAGTGCAAGATATGATGGTTTCCTATGAAGATGTACATGGACAGAAACAGTGAGAATGAGATGCTCTTGCTGTACTGTGGCCCACTTTCACAAAAATGGTACCACATGACTCTAAAGTAGGCAGACTTTGGCTGGGCGTGATGGCTCACGCCTGTAATCCCAGCACTTTGGGAGGCTGAGGCAGGAGGATCACGAGGTCAGGAGTTCCAGACCAGCCTGACCAACATGGTAAAACCTTGTCTCTACTAAAAATCCAAAAATTAGCTGGGCATGGTGGCATGCACCTGCAATCCCAGCTACTTGGGAGGCTGAGGCAGGAGAGTCACTTGAACCTGGGAATTGGAGGTTGCAGTCAGCCGAGAGAGCACCATTGCACTCCATCCTGGGCAACAAGAGTGTGAAACTCTGTCTCAGAAAAAAGAAAAAATAAATAAAAGCAGGCAGACTTTAAAACAAAGGAGTAAAACACACCTAACCTACTACAAAGGTATGCATCCAAAAAAGTACTGACCTCTTTTGAGAGGCTACACAATATTACAATTAATTGCTGTTCATCTGAACACCTATCAGGTACATCTTAGTTGCTGAAAAACTGACAAGTCTCTTTTATTCCTGTGCCACAACATTGCTGGAATCCCACATTTGTAAATGGTTGGGAGGCAACTCTCATTCTACACCCACCATCCCCCACAGCTAGGACTTCAAAGTCACTCAGTTTTGGCCCAAACCTGTATGACAAAGCACAACTGGTCACTCTCTGGAATTGGTTGCAAATCTCTTCATTCACCACTGCATCCACCCTAGTTCATTCTTTGGACTTAGCTCCAGACTATTTTTGCTTTATTGAAATAAAACAAAATGCAACAAATTCACCCCAAAAGAATGATGATTTGCTTGTCATTAGAGAAGTAGGTTTTGGGTACAGATGCCTCATTGGCTTGACAGTGGGGCCTCCTTCCTCCTGGTGGTCAGGGAGGTCTGAACAAATTGCTCAAGTCGGGCTGTTTGTTTTAAATTTGGGTCATTAGATTCACTTTACAGTTGTACCTCATAGTTTTGCTGCCTGAGAAACAGTGGTATTTACATCTGTTTAGATGTTCTCCTTAGCTTCCTTGTGGATTTAAAGCAAATGAATACGAAGAGAGGCACCTCATTTCTACCTTGGCTAAAGCGAAGCGAAAGGACAGGTGTCCTGTTCCCCCCGAGACCGGGAATGAGGAGTGTGATCAGTATTTCCTGCCGCTTTCCATGTAATTTCAGACAAGCCCGAGGAAACTGCTGGGAGAATACACATTTCTAAACCCAACTTAGCCTTTTGTGGGGTCCAATTCTCTTTCTACGTTTGAAGGGGGCTCAGAAACCCAGAAATTTTGCTTGTGTGTGTATGGTCCGTCTCCAGACTCCTTGCAAGAACTCGAATGCCATTCTCCTTCCTTCAGATGGACAGCACCCCGCGTGCCCTCACACACCCGCTTCGCTTACCTGGGGCATCTGCGGATCGTTGATGTCCCAGCTGAGCTGCATCCCGTAGGAGCACACGCCGACCGCTTCCTGCACCGCGGCCGCTGGCATCTGACGGACTCGCTCGCTCTTTCCGCCCAGGCTTCTGAAAAATAGAAGAAAAAAGGAGAGGTGCGCCAGGTGATTTTTTTTTTTTCCTCTTTAAAAATGAAAGTGGGGTATGTGTGTGAAGGGGAGGGGCAGAGAGAGAGAAAGAGAGAGAAGTTGTTTAGAAATCTGGAAGCTGGGCACAATGGTTATGGACCAGGGCGGGGCCCTGTCCTCGGCCGCCGTGCTGAACGGTCTCCACCCGAACGGCAGCATCGACGTCTGGCAGCTGTCCCTCCTTTATAAAGTACACCTCGTTGGGGGCGGGGTGGGGGGATTCCGCCCCGTGTCTCCTACCTTATTAGCACTCACGCTCCAGGGGCGGGTCTTCCCCTCCATGACAGAGCCTGGAACGGAGGTGGAGGTTAAGCTCAGTCCCGGAAGAAAAGGAAACTGAAGCAAGGATGTTGGCGTGGAAGTGGAGAGGGCAAGTTGGAATGTATCCTTTAAGTTAAAAACCTTATTATTTTCTTTCTTTCTTTCTTTGAGACAGAGTCTCACTCTGTTGCTCGGGCTGGAATGCAATGGCGCGATCTTGGTTCATTGCAACCTCTGCTTCCTAGGTTCAAGCGATTCTCCTATCTCAGCCTCCTGAGTACCTGGTATTACAAGCGCAGGCCACCACGCCCTACTAATTTTTGTATTTTTAGTAGACACCTTGCTTCGCCATGCTGGCCAGGCTGGTCTCGAACTCCTGACCTCAGGTGATCCGCCGGCCTCGGCCTCCGAAAGTGCTAGGATTACAGGCATGAGCCACCGCGCGCGGCCTATTTTTTTTTCTAAATGCATCCGGCTTCCCTGATTTCGGAAAGGGATGGAGGCTTTAGAAGCAGGGGCTTTTCCTGCTTCCAGCAAAGTCCCCGGAGAGCCAGCACTCGATTCCAGGAGAGAATGGGAACCTTGCGGGGCCCCTCTGCTGTCCCCGCGCGCCCTAGCCTGAGTAATCGCGCCCACCCCTCCTAGTTAGGGGTCAGCCCATTTTGGGCCTCCACTGCTGGCTCTTCCCCTAACTGTTGTGCGTCCGGGAGTCTTCTCTTGTCGATTTGGGACGCGCTAATGGGCGCCAAGCCTCGGTGTGTGCTCACGGGCCCAGGCGCCCTCGTGCTCCAGGGGACTGCGGAGGGACCTGGCCCTGCAGGAACGGAGTCCCACAAAGTGAACCCGGAGGAGGTGGGGGTAATGAGCCCGGGTTAGGTGGGAGCCTGGGGTAGGAAGGAAAGGGGAGAGGGGAAAAGTCCCGTAGAACTCCTAGCTTTCTCCACTGCTTTGGCTCCCTCTTGGTTTCAGCTTCGTTATCTGTTAAATAAGGGGTTGTGACTTCGCGAGCTCTCAGTTGCCAACCACCTGAACACAACTCTTAAAAAAAACAAAAACTTTACTGATGTAGTCGTGGAAATATCACGACAAAATTGTATTTACTCCATTACAGTCTTGGGAGGCTTTGGGGGACTAGATTAGAGAATCGCGGTGGTGCAGGGGTGCGCAGGACAAGGTAGGTTCCCCGGGACAAAAGAAACCTTCTTCAGCTGAGCAGTCGCCCCGCCCAGGGCCACTCCGGCACTGGGAGACTCTCAGTTAAAAAAAAAAAAAATCGACTGAAGTGACTAAAGTCGCTTTTTGACTATCCCAGGGCCGGATTCTGGGCGGCCAGGGAAGAAGGGCTTCTGGTATGCATTCCCCGCGCCCTTGTTTTGCAGCTGCATGCTTCCATTCCCAGCCCTAGACAGAGAAGGGGAGCCAACTCCTCGTGGCGGATCCCTTGAGAGAGGAGGATGAACCGAACCTATGACCCTCTAGATCTGGAGAGCGGCGCGCCCTGGGCCTTGGCACCGCAGAACACGCGCTGGGAACACAGACCGGTGCTGCGCGGGACTCGTCCAGGAGGGCGCCCTTGTCAGCGTCTCATGCAGGATCAGTGCCTTCGGTTGGCAAAAGGCGGATAAAGGAAGAGCAAAACAACCTCAGGAAACTAAGGGTGGTCCACGCTCCCGGTCCTTTTACTTCCCTAGCCAAGGGCACAGTCAGGCTTGCTTAGAAAATTCGATCCTGCGACGGGGTGCGGTGGCTCACGCCTGTAATCCCAGCACTTTGGGAGGCACGGCGAAACCCTGTCTCTTCCAAAATTAAAACAAACAACTAACCAGGCATGGTGGCGCGTGCCTGTAGTCCCAGCTACTCTGGAGGGTAAGGAGGGAGGATCTCTTGAACCCAGGAGGTAGTGGTTGCAGTGACCTGAGATCGCGCCATTGCACTCCAGCCTAGGCGACAGAACGAGATCCTGTCTAAAAAAAAAAAGGAACAAAAAAGTATCCCAGTCGGTCAGAGAAGCCTGCCAATGGATGGCAGCGGACCAGCGAACTCTGTTGGGGAGAAAGGTCAGCTTAAAGCAGTTCCTCCCGACTTTTTCCTGCTGTATCTTCAAGCTGGGGTCCTCTTCCCAAGCAAAGGCGAAGGGTCCTAGCAGAAGAAAGTGATTTGTTCATTCCCAGCCTCCTTTCTCCCGAAGTTCTCCCCTCCTGAAAGGTCCTGTCAGTCAGGGTTTCTGATTAAAATCACTCTCAAATGGTCGCCACTAAGGTCTAGTTGGGAACAAAGAGATGTGTCTACCCGTCACCCACTAGTTTCATTCACAGATTTTCATCTTAACTGACTGCCAAAGGTCCCTGAAACTCCTGTGATTACGTTGCTTTTCGTGTTGTTTTGTCTTACGAAATTACATGAAAATTTATTGACCATCCATTTTAAAATATATTATTTCATTAAATGTTTTTTAAAAGTTTAAGATAACTTATCGTTTCAAGTGTTCTAAAAATAACTTTAAAATAGTGATTTAAAGTTACCTCTGAGAATGCATAGACATTAACTTCTGGTCTTATTGCAGTGTTAGAATAGTTTCTTTTCTCTGTTCTTTTGGAATTTCCTAGAGAGACCTGACCCATCAAAAACATAAATAAATAAAACTTTTTGATGTTAAAGGCAAATCAATTAATTTCTAAATGGATTCTGGTATCCAAAGAAATGTCATAGAGCCTCTACCATATTTAGTTTGAGAAGAATTAGAATATGCATTTCAAGTTGCCTTAAATTATATCTGGGCAAAACATGTTAGTAAAAGAAGCTAATCAAAGTAAAAAATAAACATATAAAAGGTATTTTGTCTGTTCTGTTATTTTTAATTTCTCTTAAAGATTTGAATGCATTGCACCACAGACTTTGGAAGCATGTTTTTCCCCAAAAGCCTAAAAATAATAGATTATTAAGTTTTCTAATATTATGAAAACTAATTTTTAAATATTCTCTTAAATAAAATTCATTTAAATTGTAGCATTTTGTCTATTGCTTCTTATTATTCTTTATTTCTTTCTTGCCCTGGTATTCTATTTGTATTGATTCGCAATAGTTTATACTCACAGCTGTTCTTGTCTTGATTACTAGTTTAATACTATAAAAGTCCATTAATTCAAAAGGAAACGAACTTGCCTTTGAATTTCCTTGGTTTAGATTAAAATAGGTAAATTAATGTAAGAATATTTACATTAAATTTGCCAGAAAATGGATATGGCAGGCTTTGACATAAACATTGTTTTGAACGGACTAGAGATGTGTTCAAGTCCTGGGCTAACAGGGGTTCTGGTTATTTTATGTTTTGCTTTGGTGTAGACAAATATCTTCTGCACATATTATGAAATGAAATACTCATAGGTCTAGTTATAATACAAGTTGATTTTTACGCAAAGAATGTTTGGATTGGAGGGGTATTTTTTTTTTTTTTTAATGGGAAACTCCAGTCCAATTTAGTTTTGCCACCATGTTCAAAAAACGGGCCACCTACCCAAATCAGCCCAGCCATTGGTACGCATACTTGTCAGGTTAAAGGAAACAAAAAAAAAAAAAAAAAAAAAAAAAAGAATCTTCTCCATGATTCTTTTGACCTAATCAAATCTGGAATGTTTTCTTTCAATGTTTGGCTGTCATCTTTGGCTTTTTCTCTATCTGGAGGCTTTATTCACCTTCCTTCTCCATTGGAATCTTTATTTCCTGGGACTTGTCTTCCTCTTTAATGCAAAGTACTTTCTCTAGTAGCATCCTACAGATAACTGTATGGGAGATAAGTTTTTTGAAAAATTGCATGTCTCAAAATGTTTTACTCTCTCCTCATATTTGACTAATAGTTTGGTGGATATAATGTTCTGGACTGGGAATAGTTTTTCTTCAGAATCTTGATGCATTTGTAGCTTTCAGTAATGCTACTAAAAAGTCTGAAGTCATTCGGTTTTCTGACTTACTCTGTGTCACCTATCCCCACATACTACCTACTTGTAGAAGTGGGTAAGCTTTTTCTTTGTCCTAAGTATTCTGAAATGTTCTAGTAATAGTGTAAATCTGTTTTACTTTCCCATATTAGTCAAATATCTCATGGTTAGTAAGTGGTACAATTAACTTTAAGCCTGACGTCTCCTAAATTAGGAGTCAGCACTATTTTCAACACACCAGCCTCTGCCGTTGAAACTTAACTGCCATTCACAATGTTTCAGTTCATTGTGCAGGTTTTGTTTTTGTATATTTTGTATATTAATCAAATATGGGGGGTAAAACAGATTTATACCACTGTTAGAACATTAGAACATTTTTAGGCCTTTTAAAATTAGGAACTCATATAACATTTTAAATTTTCTTAAATGACTATATTAACTAATTGATGTATAAATATGTATGGCTTTTTGCATATTTATTTGTATAAATATGCACAAACTATGCTATCTATAATAAGCCTTATGGTAAAAATTGGATTGCTTCTTACCTCCTATCGCTCCTGGATTAGAATTCAGTTTTCTTGTTGAGATAATTCATTTATCATGTATCCATCTATTTTTGAGTTTCAAAAATTTTGTGGTTCTCTCTATGCTTTTAAGCTGAAGTTTTAAAGGAATTGTATTATCATTCAAGAAATTTTCAAAAGAAACTGAAATTGTACATGAGTGTTAAGTCCTAGCTGAGTGTTCAATCGATGATGTTTCC